CCCAGGGATGTGCAGGTTAGGGTGGATTGGCCGTGCTAAATTGTCCCGTAGTGCCCAGGGATGTGCAGGTTAGGGTGGATTGGCCGTGCTAAATTGTCCCATAGTGCCCAGGGATGTGCAGGTTAGGTTGGATTATAGGGGGATGGGTCTGAGTGGGATACTCTGAGGGTTGGTATTGAGTTGTTGGGCCAAAGGGCCTGTTTGCACACTGTGGGGATTCTATGATCTATGTTCAGGTTGGGACTCTACTCACTGTAGTTTAGAAGAATGAGAGGTGATCTCACTGAGACATATGGGATTGTTAAGGGCCTTGACAGGGTAAATGCTGAGACGGTGTTTCCCCTCATGGGAGGGTCTAGGACCAGGGGGCACAGGCTCAGAATAAAGAGGCACCAATTTCAGACTGAGATGGGGAGGAATTCCTTCTCTCAGAACCTTTGGAACTCCTCGCCACAGGGAGCTGTGGGGGGGGCAGAGTCCCTGTGTATACGGAAGGCTGGGATAGATTCTGGATCAGTTGGGCAGGAAAGTGAGGAATGTGGGATCAGTCGCGATCCTAGCGGAACAGGCTGGAGGGGCCGAATGGCCTGCTCCTGTTCCTATGTCTTCAGGCCTTATCATTTCGAGTGGAGGTTCGTGCTTGCGCGCTTTAAGAAAGTGTGAAGTCTGCCTGGAGGGTGTGGAATGGCTCAATGAGAGCGTCTCCAGGGATGGAGATGGTCAGTTCATGTGGACATAGCTGACTGCTCACATCGAGAGCAGGAAACTGCGAGGGGATCTGACAGACCTTCTCAATACCTTGAGGGGTCTGGGCGGAGCAGATCGGGACAAAGTCTCTGCGTTGGTGGAAGAATTAGAGAGTTAGAAGGCAGCAAGACGATGCGAGTGGCCGAGGGACAACATGAGGAGGTGACACACCCAGTGAGGGAGTTGGGACTGGAGTGTGTCACCCGGGAGGGGGAGAGAGAGAGAGAGAGTAGGGGAGAGCGAGAAAGAGAACGCCAAATGGCGGGGTGGGGGGGAAAGAGACACACACACACACACACACACACACACAAAGAGACAGACAGACAGAGGGACAGAGGGACAGAGGGAGAGACAAACAAACAGAGAGAAGGACAGACAGACAGACGGAGAGAGAAGGGCAGACAGAGAGAGACAGAGAGGGACAGAGACAGAGAGAGAGAAACAGGGCAGACAGAGACAGAGACAGAGAGACAGACAGAGAGAGAGGGACAGAGAGACAGACAGACAGAGGGACAGACAGACAGAGAGAGAAACAGGGCAGACAGAGACAGAGACAAAGAGAGAGACAGACAGAGAGAGAGACAGGGGCAGACAGAGAGAGAGAGAGACAGACAGACAGAGGGACAGACAGACAGAGAGAGAGGGACAGAAAGACAGAAACAGGGATCCAGCTAATGTGTTGCGAACCTATCTAGAGGGTAAAGGTGGGTAGCAGAGCAGGAACAGCCAGGGAAATGGGACAGGATAGAGATGCTCTGGCTGACACTGACAAGATAGGCCAAATGGACTCCTGTGGCACATGTGCCCAGTCTTCTGGCCTGACATTTTGAGTAACTCCTGTCCTTATCTAGTCTGGGCTTTGTGAGGGGGGTGGGGGTGGGGTCAGGGAAGTGGAGTGGAAGGGGTGGGGCAGTGGGAGCGGTGCTCCCATGTGACTCCTGTCCCTATGTAATCGAGGTTGGAGGGGGAGGGGGGTCAGTTTCATGTGGCACCCAACCATAGTCAGTCTGGGGGAGGGTTATCCACGTGACTCCCATCCTGACTGCATCTGGGGGTGGGGGATTGGAAGTGGAACCTTATGTGACGCTGAATCCCCCCACTATCAACATCCTGGGGGTTTACCATTGACCAGAGACTCAACTGGACCCACCACATAAACACAGCGGCTACAAGAGCAGGTCAGAGGCTGGGAATCCTGCAGCGAGTAACTCCCGTCCTGTCTCCCCCCAAAGCCTGTCCCACCATCTACAAGGCACAAGGCAGGAGTGTGATGGAATACTCCCCACTTGCCCCTGGATGGGGGCAGCCCCAACAACACTCAAGAAGCTCGACACCATCCAGGACAAAACAGCCCCGGCTCGATTGGCACCACATCCACAAACATCCCACTCCCTCCCCCCACCGAAGCTCAGTCGCAGCAGTGTGTACCATCTACAAGATGCGCTGCAGAGATTCACCAAAGATCCTCAGGCAGCACCTTCCAAACCCCACGGCCACTTCCATCCAGAAGGACAAGGGGCAGCAGAAGGGACCCTTCTTCAGTAAATCCAGGAAAGCTGACGTTTTGGGTCAGGACCCTTCTTCAGAAAATGAAGGGTCCCGACCCGAAACGTCAGCTTTCCAGCTCCTCTGATGCTGCCTGGCCCTGCTGTGTTCCTCCAGCTCTACACTGTGTTATCTCTAAATCTCGCTGAGTTATGATCACTATCTCCAAAGTGCTCCCCTGCAGATATACCTTTCACCTGCTCAAGCTCATACTGAGCCCAAAACTGTTGGGCTTTCTACGTGCTGGTTAAAACAAAACAAAACAAAATAAAAATTCTTCTCAATACAATTGCAAAGAATTTTAAGCGTGCAGCAGTTGAAGGAGGTAGCTCACCTCTAGGGGAGTTAGAGATCGGAATCAAATGGCGACTCAGGTGAGGGAAAATAACTGAAAGCCTTTCACCTCATATCCTTACTTTCCAGTGTCCCCAGCTTTCGATCTTCTCCGAAGAAGCCTTCATTGGCGGGAGAACTGAGTTTAAGAGCCGTGCGGTTATGCTGCAGCTCTATGAAACTCTGGTTAGACCACACTTGGAATATTGTGCTCAGTTCTGGTCACCTCATTATAGGAAAGATGTGGAAGCTGTAGAGAGGGTGCAGAGGAGATTTACCAGGATACTGCCTGGACTGGAGGGCAGGTCTTATGGAGGAAAGGTTGAGGGAGCTAGGGCTTTTTTCATTGAAGGACAAGAGGTGACTTGATACAGGTGTACGAGATGATGAGAGGCATAGATAGAGTGGATAGCCAGGGGCTTTTTCCCAGGGCGGAAATGACTATTACAAGGGGGCATAATTTTAAGGTGATTGGAGGAAGAGAGTGGTGGGTGTGTGGAATGCGCTGCCAGCAGTGGTAGTGGAGTCAGGTACTTTAGAGACTTTTAAGCGACTCTTGGATAGGCACATGGAGGATAGTAAAATGTAGGGTATACAGGGTAGATTGATCTTAGAGTAGGATAATAGGTCAGCACAACATTGTGGGCCGAAGGGCCCGTACTGTGCTGTACTGTTCTATGCTCTATGTAAGCCCAGCGTGTGGGAATCAGTCCGACACCTTCGGAAAACCTTTATACTCTGCATCCGCCACACAACCGCTCAAGCCATCCTGTCTGCCAAAGCTGATCTCTGCCCCTTCCATCTTGGGCTACTGCTTTGGTGGGGAGAATACAGGAGCTGAATATTGCTTCAAACGGAGAAAGACTGCAGAAAGCCACGGAGCCAAGAGATGTGAAAGTCCTCGCCAAAAGCCAGGATTCCGATTCAGCGTGATGTGGGGGAAGGGAGATGGAATTTGTTCCAATGGGAACGGGGTACAAACGTCGGGAGGCTTTGCTCCACCTACGCGAGGCAGACCACAAGTGGAATACTTTGAAAAGTTTTGGACCCCTTTCCTAAGAGTTAAGACACTGGGCGTTGGAGGTGGTCTAGGGAAAGTTCCCTCAGCTGCTCCCCAAGTGTGGAGGGACTGTCTTGAGGAGTGAGGGGGTTGGGGGGGGCTCGAGTAGGTCGGACCTGTACTTGTTGGAGAAATCGAGCTGATTGTAACATCAAGGATTCTTGACAGACACAGAAAGGTTGTTTTCCCCAGTTTGGAGGGGGGGTGGAAAAAGAGTTTAGGGTATTATCTGAGAATAAGGGGCCGCACGTTTAAGGTAGAAGTCCCCCCCACTCAGAGGGTGTTTCCCACAGCGGGCCATTAAAGTAAATGCAGCTTTTTAAATCAGTGAGGTGAGGTGGGGAAGGGGCTGATCAGATGGGCTGTGAGCTGGTGGGACACCCTGAGACATGGGCCTCGGAAGTGTCTCCCGCTTCCGCGCCTAAACGCCTCGGCGCTAGCTCTCCCGGCTTCACCTCCCACCGTCTTCTCGGAGTAGGATTTCAGGAGGCAGTCCTCCAGCGTTCGCTCCCTGGACAGGTTGTGCCTGTTGGAGAGACGCAGCGCGATGAGAACCCTGGGGTCAGGCCTGTCCTTGCAGCTTCCAACGGTCTCCAGCAAGATGCTGATCAGAAGATTCTCGAGGGGCCTCTGCTCCTCCGGGATACCTGCCGACGACGACGAAAAATAAGAGAAAAAGAAAAACACCCCGCAAAACACACGGGGGTGGGGAGGAGGAAATGGAGCTCATTGCTCTGGCGCCTGCCAACCCCGTCCCCTCACCATGAGGATGAGAACGCGGCGCGCAATATATATATAAAAATATTTTTGCCTGGCCATTTTCCCCACAGACAGCTCGCGGTTTAAGACTTCACATTATATAGAGTTCAAGAGATAGTGGGAACTGCCGATGCTGGAGGATCTGAGATAACAAGGTGTGGAGCTGGATGAACACAGCAGGCCAAGCAGCATCAGAGGAGCAGGAAGGCTGACGTTTCGGGTCTAGACCCTTCTTCT